GATAAAGGCGCTATATACATGCACAGTACCTAGGGCCTAGGATATGTGACTAACAAGTAACTGGGCCCATATAACAGGCTTATGACCTCGACCAAAGAATAAATGAAATACAATTGTCAACAAAATATATTTATATTATATTAAACAAATATATTGCAACACAGTTATAATATGTGTGACATTATAACTATATTAGTGTATTTTTTTATAAAAAGGAAATAGAAATGTATTATTATTTAACATTGGAGTCCTCGGTGTTTAAGTGCGAATAATCGGTCTTATATGATTATAACATATACTCTGGCGGATCGCCCTGTGTAACTAAATAAAGGTTTCTCTGTACAAGTTTTAGTATCTATTATGTGTAGACTGTAGTCAAATTATTCTCTGTACTGCCGTTTGTGGCAGATATGGCGCCTGGCGTTATGTATAATAATACAAAACTCGTTGGTTGATCCAGTTTAAGGTCATCAATGTATTATAATAATATTAAAAATTAAATACAACTAGATCTATTATACATAAATAGATCTTTTGAATCAGGCACTTAACACAGCGGCGTTTGCCTGTTCATTTATTATGTATAAATAATGTACATATGAGGGGAATTAGAAACGTGTTACGACCGATAGATTAACATCGCATAATTAATAAACCCATTCGATTTACATGTAGGAACGACGGTCAAAACGACAAGTATAATATAATAATCTTAATAATTATGATTATTATAGCCGCTACATACACAATGTTACTGCGAAAAAACATTGTTGGTGTCCCCCAACCACCCAGAGAGACTAATATATTCTAACATTGAATTTAGTGGAATGCATAAAAAAAACGTTAAGTAGGTATATCTTTGGTTGTACACGAGAATCATACTATTATTATTATGTATGGTTTTCATTTTGAATACTAGAATATATTTTGACAATCGGTAGCCTAATCAAAACTGTTGTATTTAATAGAAGTAAAAGCCTGGCATAAACTAGTATAAGAACCCGACTGCCTTCATAGACTTACTTTTATATTAAAATAAAGCTAAAAAAAATATTAAAGTATAACCAACCCGGAAATATATTAGAAAATGCTTTAGCCGAGAAAGAAGTTGACAATAAAAATAATATTTAAAATTGGAGACCTAGTTAAATTAATACTCTTTTAATTAATTTTTTTCCATGACGAGTATAAATATGAGCTGCCTACAAGTTCGCTGTAGCTTGACATTCCGATTTCGAGGAATAAACGCGCTGGTGGATTTGATTACGGCTAATTTCGAAGGTGTTAGTACGGCGCCGATGTTTTCTCGGTTGTGGTAATACTCCTTGCCTTCCCGTAGCAAAGGACATAGCACTCAACGAAACTACTAATTTGACTTGTACACGTGATAGGCAAGCTTAAACCGCAGGGAGATAGCCTTGCACCGTAGGCATACAATTCAAGTATTTATGTACAGTCAAGTTTCCTCCCCGATTTGTCTGTATTCAGCGCAAAGCTTTGTATAGTCAAATCCCTATGTAAACATATCATATGTGCACATTTTGTTTGCTATACCGTTTAAGTGCTAACAAAATGATACTAGCGGTGTAAATACTTGACTGAACCGGAAACGCAACAGATATAAAATTATATTTATGATAAAAAGTTTGCGATTAGTGTAAAAGTATAATGTAATTAGTGTTTGTATATGGACCGCGTCTTTATCTGAGGTAAAAATTCGCACTAGCTTGCACAAGCTAAAAATTACCTATATCATGTATGTGACTAAAAATAAGTGTTTGTTGTTTCCTACGTCGCGTCGCCTAAGTCTTAATCAGGTTTTTTTTAACCGTAGATAGCTGTTAATATAGGTAATAAGTACCTATTATGTATAAGTAAGAGAGAACTAATGCTATAAAAATGTTTAATAGCAAATAATTTGAACAAGCTAATTAAACTAACCCGAAGTTATCGGATACATGGTAACGTTTTTATTATTATTGTCTAGTTGGTTATTATATGATTTTAATATACCTGTTATAATATGTATCCAATGATAATAATTGAGTTGATGCTACCTAGTAAATTTTATTTCACAACGATTTTATTCGATTTTACTTAATTAACACAATACCAAAGAGGGTATTTCTCAGACATAAGTAAAGTTTATGTTTGGGAATGAGAGTTCAACATCCTAAGATACAAATCTTAATAAAGTCTGCTTAATACTATTTGTTGGAAATTGTATTGCATAATAGTTAGAACCAAATATAAAAAAAATATACTAAATATCAATATATCATCATCGTTATAAGTCGTCGTTAGTAGCTACAATGTTATCTTTAAACGATAACTAACAAATAAAACGTATATAGATTTATTAATCATTTTTTAAATATTTTCAAAGTCTAAATATTGTTCATACATAATACATAATACATTGTACATTATGTATTATGATGAGGACGTGATCCCTCTATTTAATAAGTATGAGGTATATAAGTACTTTTTTGCAAAATTATAATTTAAAGCTTAATCTGTAATGTGTAATTACTAATTATTAGTTTAGTGATGAGAACTTTTTTTTGCTAGTTACCTTATTTTTCGGACAATCACAATATCTTTGTCATCCATTTTAAATATTTTTTTAATCTAAACATAATTCCTCAGAATGTGTTTTACTAATTGTAAGTCCATGTTTTTTTAGAGCAAAAACGCCTATCATGAAATCGAAAGATAACAACATTTCTGAGTAAAAATCTTATCCGATTTTGAAAATAATAACGATTTCGATTTTGTTATCGGTAGTTTTGCTCTAAAATCATTACGGTTGGAGTAAAACGCATTCTGTGTATAGATGTATGTTTAACGTTAGAAAATTGGGCGTATAACGTCTTCTGAATACAGGGACACGATCAATTTTTAGTTGGAATAACTAAATATGTAGCTAGTTTGTCCATATAAATGTTTTAGTTAAATCAGCTATACATTTAGTTGGCCTAATTATTTATCTAGTTATTCTACGACTGTAAATTTTCTCGTGTTCCTACTTCAACTTTATACGGTTTTCTGTGCACGTTATATTATTATAATAGCCATATAATGGAGTTGTGCCTGCGCTACATAATATAATGGTGAAAATTCAGTTGTCTCGGCGACCTGGCGCTGAATGACATGGCGAAAGAGAGAGGGGGGACGGAGGAGCCATAAGTAGGGAGCGAGACGGGAGACCTCAGCACGCGTCCCGTATACCGTTGTTGTTGAGGGAGACATCTATAGTGTTGTGGTATACAGAGGCGCCCCTCGATTATTATCGGTTCTCACGACCCGCCGGCTCTCATTTTGAATATAATAAAATATAATAATATATACACACGCCTATATTATTATAATGTGTGCAGGGACGGCAGCATCAGCGATATGCGCATATGTATATACCTACAGATAGAAAAAAAAACGACACGCAGTCGTATGATATGCAAAACAAAACCGACAAAAAAAAAATAATAAAAGAGAGGTCATAGTAAAATAAAAACCACCTACCTATCCCGTACGTGCGTTTGTTGTGTGTGAAGGAGCTCCTATGCCAGAAGAGGCAAAAGGAAACGCACTATACACAACAATAGGCACGCGGTGGATAAAACAATGGCGACAAACAATAATGGAATAATATTACATGTATAATATATTATTATTATTGTAATGTGCGCACGCGGTTTGCCTTATATAATCGGTCGGTATCATCTCTCTCTCTCTGTGCCCAGTGTATATAATATATAATGTATATGCTAGCAGCCCATTCGTTGTTCGCCGCCTCTGTAATGTCACTGTGTATATTATACATATAATATAAAAATATAATATTATGGCCACCCTATCCTACATACATACATATAATATGTATGTGCGGTAGAATATTACTTTTTGCGTGTCCATTGTCGTCGTCGTGGCCATACACACTATTGGGCTGATAGAGAAGCAAAGAAACGTTTTAAGAAAAAAAGAAAAAATACCGGGGAAGCGCAAAGTTGAGATCGTGAACGGGTAGTCCCCGCCCCGCGCTCCCTGTCAGTTGTCCACCGAGTATTATTATGTATCTATACATATATATATATTGTATAATAATATGTACTTGAGCACACGCGTCCGACACACCGTGTATGTATAATATATTTGCATAGAATGAACCGGAGGACCCTAAGTATAGAGTACCTATCTACACGAGGAAAAACGTGAGTCTACCGCCGTGGTCGATGAGTACACAACAAATACTTAAGCGTATTTGTGTGCGCGTTTGATGTTATACCTACTATTCGTGCACCGCCTTTGAGTGAACAGAAAAAAAAACAGGAATATTACATAAAAATATACGCCTCTATAAGTTTGTACGCAAGTGGAAAAACGACGTTATTTTGTGGCCGATTTTCTCATCCAAAGATTATGATTGGAAAATAAAAAGGCGCGAAACGGATAAAGCCGGAGGGGGATTGACACTTAACGTTTTAAAAAACTATCAACTCAACACATTTTAACCATTACAATTCTTATATTTTTTTTATGCAAAACTCTCTTAAAGACAAAATTCAAGTTTTAAAACATCACAGTGGAACTTTTAAAATGTTAATATAATTATTGTTTGGATTATGTTCCACAAAATAAAAGTTATGATATTATAAATGAAACGATGAGTACTAAAATACCACTTACCGTAAGTGACATTATTTAAAACAAGTTTTTGAGCTTATAATATTTGTCAACGAAACCTATTTCCTATTTAAAAAAATAAACATCACTCTAAAGAATATATAGAAAAATGAATTTTAATTTTGTTCTCCAAAGAACATCTTTAGGAAAAGTCAGATGTGCCCTTTTTTTACTATCGTTACTTCATATTTTCATTATTATTAGTGTTGTAAAATATTAATTAATCAAATAATAAAACAACATTTTTAATTTTAATTAAATGTCACCGCAACTATTTATTGGAGAAATGTACACGTTTTACAAAAGTTTTGTAATTCTTATAGACACGAAGGAAGTAAGAACAATTATAATTAATAAGTAAATGAGTTTATATACAGTCATCATAATATTTGTTTTATGTACACAAAGTTCGTTAATCTATTATATAATATATAGGTATATAAATATAAGTTACTGGCAAACGACTATTGACAACTAAAAATTATTAGTTTTTTTTCCAACTTTTTTTTTTTTATACTTTCAACAATATAAATAGGTATTTGATTAAAACATAAAATAAACAACAACTTAATATAGATATCGAAAATATTGCACGTATAAACTGGCTCACGACGATTTGTTTTTGTTCCTTCCAAATGATGTTGATTCGAATCGTTTCAAAACTATCTAATATATAATTATGATTTCTACGAGGAAACGGCAGGGGGAGCATTCATATAGGGGTGAGAAGGACAACGATTTATTTTTCGATTTAAGAACCGCATTCCATGGGCGACGATGTGCCCAGGTAACTTCGAGGGCTACTCATCTGCATGGACCCGTGGTGCTGTTGCTGCTGCTGTTGCTGCTGCTGCTGCTGTTGGTGGTACATGACAGCTTCAATGCCGGTAGACCCGGTTGAACTCTCCGAGCAGCTCTTGTCCGGTTTGATGGAAGCCGGCGCGGATAACTGACCGCTGCCCAGGCCGTCCTGCTTGGTGGCCGTCCGCCTGTACTTTGCCCGTGCGTTTTGGAACCACACCTATGCAACAAACAAAAAAAAAAATGTAAGATTAAAACAATTGTACTGAAACGATCCCGGTGTAAATGACTATTCGTCTCAGTGTACTAGAGTTCTGAGTCGACTATAAATATTATTATTATATCCCAATTGTAAGTACTATATAGCGGTAGTGTGAGTAGAATTGAACGAGAGTAATTAAAAACGAACCTAGAAACGTGTCTAATGTCTAACTGTACATATAGAACCCTTCACTTAAACTTAATCATTTTCGAAAAATCGACTATACCCAACTCAATATATTGAATAGGCGGTCCTCTAAAATACTTGGTTAGAATAAACGCACGTACGGGGAAGAAACGCTAAAAAAATAATACAAGATTATTATCGTCGCGGTCAACGCTACCGTTTTATTTACATTATTTTGTAATTTTTATCTTTGCGAATTTTTATATTATACACAACTGCACTCGTGTCGATGACCGATCGCTTTGTGGCCGTTTATCGCATAGTAATAATATAATATGTAATATCCATGTGGGACAATATGGCACAATCGTACACAATAGTACGACCTCGTGGCATAACGCTGGCGACAATAATAATTATACAACCGTACCTATTTAATACGGTAAGGGGAGATGGATGAACAAAAAAAAAAAAAACCACCAAAAACAACAAGGATCGTGCGTGCATCCGGAAAAGAGTGGTTTTCCGGCGAATAAGCCGTATCGACACGACCGACGCGACGATCCGTTCTCGTTCTAAAAAAGATCGCATACAACAAAAGCACACTTATAACTAGCTGTATAATAATAACAATTATACAGAAACGCGACGATAAATGGTCGGTGAAGACAATTTGTTACACCAGAGCCGTCCAAAATAAACAGTCCCTTTGTTTTCGGTTCGCGTAGATTAGTGGACGTTCCCATCAATCTTAGGTGCCCTCTCCGGGAAGTCTGCCAACTCTTGACACTTCTGTTAGAGCGGGGCGGGGACAGAACGGTAAAAAAAAATAACTGAGAATAATGATTATGCTTAATATATATATATGTATATTATTATATGCTCTTTTTTTCGGAAAAAGAAGAAATATTCTCATTGCTGTGGTAGAAAAATCGAGAACGGTGGATACACCGCTGCTAAATTGGTGACGGGACTATTTTTAACTATACAGGCGTCGACCCGCGAGTGACGGATTCTTCAAAGAACAACCTGGGTGTGCAGCACGATATGAGACTTTTCCGCTCGAAATCTTAATAATACTCTTTACTTTCCGGTACACAAGAATGGCAAACTATTAGGTCTTAACATGATTCCACACAGTACCTATAATATCTGAAAATCTACTCCACGCCGAGGTACTCGATGAACCTAAGGCTGTATAATTATTGTAATAATTAAAACAATTCATATTTTAACGCTACACTCACGTTTCTCACAGTAAAATCGCGGCTTAACAAACCTAACGGCTAACCAGATGTATAAACACAATTGGGTACGCATAGACTGGAGTAAACGAGTAAGTTTAGAAGATACAATTTGATCCATTCATAATCATATAGTATATATGTACAAATCGAACCGGGTATTTCATCCATCTCTGATACATTTTACCTCGTTTATAATATATTTTGTTATTAGACAAACTTTCGAGAGTTCGTGAATATTATGTAATTTTACAACGATAATGTTATGAAACCAGAAATTATTGCTACTTGCAGCTTATGAACAAGGTGAACAATTACAAATTATAGAAAATTAGTTATAAAGCTAAAATTACTTCACTTTTTCAACCAGCCTTGGGCATATGTCGTATATATTATTATTATGCTCTTATAGTGTTTTTCATAGGCTCAAATACCGAACATGGTCGTATAGTAGTGACTATATAATACTGTATAGTAATATAGGGACATGCACACAAAAGCCACAAAAGAACATTTTCTATTTCTGATATCTTACACGTTGTTATTACTATTACTATTACTATTATTATCATCATCACTCTTAAGTCTATATATTATTATGTTATATAAAGTACACAAACGCATGGATACGGTATATCAGATAGGGCGTGATAACCGTCACGGCCGTCGATCGTGTCCACACTAATTAACTGAACTTATTCGCGGTGCCTTACGACAGTGTCGCGGCACTCGTGTTAACTTAGGCAATACAAATACTTAAATACTTCTGCTGTAGTAGTGACGATAATAATATCATAACATACTATTATAATGATGCGCGACCAGCGGTGAACTGACAAGCGACGCGCCTAATTGCCGGGACCTATGGCGGTCCCTTTGCCACGCTTCTCCGTCGACGACATTCTTTGACGTCTTTTGGAGTGACAGAAATAGCACCCCTCCTTATAAGCGTATACATATCATATTGTTTAGATATAAAGGTATACCGAGCCTGCGGTCGGTTTTTTTTATAATTGAATCGCAAGCGTTTGTTAGGGCGAAGAACACCGCGAGGGATATAACAATTAAACGCCCAAAAAACACTCTATCGAAAACTGTACGAAAACTGGTCGCCGCCCTGTTCCGATCTCATTTTGAACAGAGTATAGAAAGGAAAAAAAACAAAACTCTATCTCCCAGTGATCTTATATTGATACGGTTATTGACATTTTAATACAGTCTTATTTAAAAAAAAAATATGACAGACGTTGATGCGTATTAGGCCCTACGCCCTAGACGATGTACGTCAATGGTTATCGATCCGACTCTGCTGATTTCACAGCTCATGTAAATACGCATTATAATGCATACTATGGTATAGTATAATATATTGCACATACTACATGTGTGCAGTGGAAGATTATAAAAAAAAAAACATGTGTCGATGTCGGTATCAAATTAATCGGTTCGCGCGTTCACAATGGGTTCCCACGATTGGCAGAGGACGAGCAAAAATTAATCACAAAAGACAAGGTCACTAATTATCACTATTATTATTATAGACTACCTCTTGTAAACACTACCGGCGCGCAATAGAAATGCCGACCAACCGCTAATTACTTGCAGGCTACTAACTTTATTACCTATACAATATAGAGGCGGTCAGAATAATAATTGTTTTTAGTTGCATTCGAGCCGGCCGCGTACAACGAGAGCGGCCCACACGACAGTTTTCGCATACTTAAAAGGCCGTCCAAACGGGTGTTTAATTACCGTTTCAGGGTCCCTATATTATGTACAATACTATATGCTATTATTACACCTATCAAGAATGAAAAACCGGTTAGGTTCGGTAAACGCACAGCCCAATATCGGAAAGGCGGCGGCCTATGGTAAACAAGTCAGTTCCGTTTTTATCTTAAGGGCACGTGGGGGACGAGCCTGGGGCCCCCGGTCGAATAATACAATTTTCATCTTAACGTTATTGTTTTTTTTTGGTTTTCTTAAAGAGCCTCCAAACTCAGCGTGCCCAAGGGCCCCCCTGCACAGCCTAAGACGGTTCTGGTAGGCAATCTGGTTGGTGGTTTTTTAATGCCAAAACCGTTTGCCGGGAAAAATGAGAAAAATGATATTATCATACACGAGGTATATATATATAATTGTATTATCATTATTGTTATATACTATCGCTAACGGCGGCCATTACGTTATGGCGCGATAGGTCGTTGTGTTGTTTTGAACCCTGCGACGGCCGGTTTCCCAGTGCAAGCGGACAATCATGTACGGTTGTGACAAATTACGCGGGGGCATACGAAATCATATATATCTGTTTGTGTAAGACTTATATAAATGTATATAAGCGGCGGCGATGTCGGCAAAGCATCAAAAGCGCCGACCGCACGGCAAACATGTCGCCGCCGGACAAATGGTAGCAAACGGATACAAAAAAAAAAATTGTATTAAAAAAAATCATATTGCCTCTTGATGGCGGGAGAGATGACGAAGGAGGTGAACCCCCTCCCTCCCCCCCGTATGTTTATATGTAAAGAAAAATAACAAAAATGCGAACCGAATAATAGGGAAAAAATAAAATAAAAAATAGAAGCTCAAAGGTATCGCAGGTGGACGTAACCTCGCCAATAGAATGTTAAACGGCCAAACGGGTTTTTTATTGTTATTATCATTTTTCTTTTTTTTTTGCGCTATTTAATACATCTTTCTCTCTCCGGCTCTCTGTCTAACTGTACATAATACTGTCCGTCCTACGGTGGCGGCGGTGATGGAAGAAGCTTCTGCGGGACGACCGGCATATGGCTGCCGTCGTGGATTGTTTCATTGTTTTCAAACGGAATAACATTGATAAATGGACGACGTTATTTCGTTTCTTTTCTCTTATTTTTTTTTTATTCTTCTTAACCCTTCTTCTGCTGTATTATTATTATTATTTCCTCTGCGTCCGTTGGGCTACCGCCTCCTGCTCTCTCTCTTTGGCCGAGATATGCGGCAAAGCACCTGCCATTTTTCCGGACCGGACGACGACCGACAAACCAGTTCCATTGGCGACAGCCACAACGCGAATAGTGTGTGTAACGCAATCTTTGTTTTTCCTCCAGAGATCTTCGCAGCCTATTGTGTTTGCGGGACGTGCACATATACGTATGTAAGCACCGCCGCAATAAGTACAGTATAGAACGTACCGGCTATAGAAAGCATAAAATGTATATATATATATCTATACAGTCCGGAGTCCAGAGAAGACACCGCATCTTACAAAGGATGCGACGTCGGTAGAGAAAAAAAAACAAGAATAATATACCGTTTGCACTGATAATATAAAGATTGTTCACCGATAGATACATGGATATATATTATATTCTTGTAAACTGTTTAAAAATATAATATGTGTAAGTAGGTTTGTTTTTCTGTAGAATTATATGTGCATAAAAAAACAGTAAATCCGAAAGCAACAAAAAATTATACTGTATAATTATGGTATATGCAATTACAATTTAATATTTTTTAAATTGATAAGTAGCTTGACTTCACTATATAAGTGAAGGCTCAAAGACCGTGCTGATATATTAGAAAACGCGTTCACAGATGACAGGCGGTTTGCATGTAGATGACTGGTGTGTAAGACCAAGCAGCGATGTCGCGTCGTCTTGTGTGTGTATTTGATTAATTAAACATTGATAAAAAGAGTTAAAGCCAAAACAAAAAAAATCGTAGTCTTTGAAAAGCCGACGCCATCGCTTGTAAATCTGTTGGCGGCGCTAAAAAATCGCAATTGGCTAGCGTGCCAAGTGATATTATTATAAATAATTCGCTTGTGTACAAAACAAAGTATGGTCAAAACAAAACGCCAAACACATATTTCCCCTTCTCGGTGGTCTTAACATATTATATGATATAGGCTTTGGCGCAATATAAATATATATATATATACTAAGAGAAGCTGACTGTTATTTTGTAGCGTAGCTCGCAATTGAAACATTCCGCACTGGACCAATAAAAAAGCTAGTTTTAACTGATAAAAAATAATCTTTAAGATCAATGATAATTTTGTTTTATAGGTTACAATAAGTTGCCAGAACGCTTACAGGTTATATGTATACAAGATAATTTGGTTTACTATTATAATCGTATAGAAATTGTGCTAAGTGTAGGATTTATTTTGTGAAGAGCCTGTATATTATAGAGTTCTTATGATTCAAGTGAGTATAATTTGTTTATCAACAAATTTAATTCAATCGAGATGAAACGATTAGGTAATAGGTAACTACCCAATACAGAAAAGATACTGATCGTATACGCCCGGCTCGGTTACTGATTCTGTAAAATTTAACCATGAGAACGCGGTCATAAAACAATTTGACCGTCTGTGTTTTCCCTTTTAAATTCGGAATGTGATCTCTGAACGATGAATAATTTATCGCCCCGTCCGTCCGGTACCCATTTATCGACGACTTACTAAAACATTATACATACATGGGAATACGTGTGTGTATATGCCAATCCTTATATCAATATCCTTCCAAATGTGTAATAATGTGAAGAGTTAATATGCTACTATTGACTACATATTTACTACTTATTGACCACTATTTACAACGTATTTACAACGGTGATGAATAGTTTAAAGAAAACCTTAACAATTATCGTCACCATCTCTATACGGTCCCCACAATTATAGGTATTGCCAACATAACGAACCAAAAGCTCATTGAACAACATCGCCGACCCACCGACGTTATACGTAAAGTATTTTACTTTAGGACATAGTGTAGTACTACTTGTGCACACAGGTAAGTCCGGTTCGAAGGACCACAGAACATGCAAATACGGTGGTCGGCTGTCATCGACGTTTCATCGCGCCAAATGCATTCAGAACACGCGAATACTATAAATCGTTTACTCTTGTGTGTTTACAGTGTAATTTTGTACACGGCGCATAGGTATATATAATGTAAGTGGGTAAGAACGACTGTGGTGGTGGCTGTCGAAAGCGAAAACCGAGCCGAATCATAAATAACTCGGGCGCATTAGGTTCTTGCTTTATATTTTTATTGCCGTATGATTGTCTGTGTTTTTCATTCGGTGGCTCGACTACGATTTATGCATTCGGCCGAGATATATATATATATATACACACACGAGGCCGACCCGAATAAATTATAAGTTACTTGTCTCCAAACGATTTTTTCACGCACGTCCGACCGCCAACTCCCCTCCCGTCCGTTAAATTGTAATATTTCCTCGCTCTAATAGCAAAGAAAAAAACGTAGTATTATTATTAAAATGGAGTGTTATTTATGCCTGATGATACACCCTCGTATTAATATAGAAACTCTAAACAAAATTTGCTAGGTTTTTTTTTTCTAGTCGTTCTGTCCCCACCCAGCTGTCAACGAAAGCTTTGAATTCAAAATGATTTTGGCAGTTATAGCTTGTTCATTCCTCTTTTCTAGCAAGACGATACAGTCAGACAATTCTGATATATTGTAAAAACGTTCAATACTATACATATCATGATTATGCGCATTTACCTGTAACACCCGTTTGGGCAGGCCCGTCTTTTGAGACAATTGTTTGAGATCCTTTGCGTCTGGGTTATGGTTGTGGTGGAAGTACGACTTCATGGTTCGCAGCTGATGGTGTTTGAAAGAGGTGCGCATTCGCTTGGTCCTCTGATGTCCGGATCCTCCGTTGCCGCCGGGGCCCGAAGACAGACCGTTCGGTCCGAAGGTCATTTCCATGTTGTAAGAATCGCTGGAGTTCATGTCTGCAGAAACGATAAATAAAAAAATTAAAATACACCAACTAATATTTAAATAATTTATTTTTCGTTGTATATTAATTATTGTACCATATAGATCATTACTCCCGTGTAGCTTCACGAACAAATATTTTTTTTATCGTGCAAGTATAATAAATATAAGGTTGTGCATTTTGGATTTGTTTTTTTTTTATTTTGTAAAATAAAAAAATGCCAACGCGCATATTGTTTCGATTTTTTGTTTTTTTTTTATTACTACATGTACATTGACAATGTTATACATTATATTATACATACACCTAACGCTGATGATATCTCGTGTGGTGTGTACGGCGCGACCTTCAAGGTTCGATGAGTTTTATTGCTTCTGATTTTGCATATGGTTTCCGATTAAAAATACAAAAAAAGAAAAAAAAAAGGGGAATATAAACATACATTATATTATTGAGGCTAAGCCGCGTTAACATAAACTCACAATCAACGTCATGACTCAATAAAAAACTTAGGGTCATTTTTGACACTGACTTTAATAATAAGCTGGGAATATGCCGACTTCGCATAGAGGTCGTCGACAATCGTATCTATATTTTATAATATTATATTGTGGGTAAAAAAAATATTGACACATTGTGTTTTTTTCGAATTTCCAGCTTAAGGTATCATTTTTATTTAATTACTGCTGTATATTATAATAATAATTGATATGTAAACTATTTCTATGCTGACAAAAAAAAAAATTCAAACTGAGTGATCTTAATATTAATAATAATCATCATAAATTAGTAATCAATAAAGTATTGACACGCCGGTTAAATCGTAATTTAAACGTGTCTCTGCATATCCAAGCTCTGTTTAAACCTGCGTTCTTCTGCTCTATAACGACTATTTTAATGTCCCTCAGTCGATTAATTTACAGGTAACTCGACAAAAAGCTTCCTTATTGAAATGTCTACAAATAAATCAGAAATCTCCGTTATTTTACGAGATCGTATTATTTTTTTACGATCTCAAGGATGGAGCTACCGAGAAATTGGAAATTTATTAAAATTAAACTTTTCTACAGTACGTTGGATAATATAACGCTATGAAGAAACTGGTCATATTAATAATAAACAGCGAACGGGACGTACTAAAATATTCTCTGCGAGAGAAAAACACAAAATTGCGAATGAAATTCCAAAAAATCCTACTATTAGTGCTCCGAAATTGGCCGCTAATATTGCTCAATCAATTAAAGCTGAGAGATACATTTATTTTTCAGCAGGATAATGATCCAAAGCACTCAGCCAATACAACTAAACATTGGTTGCTGTCTTATGCACCACGGCAACTGAAACATCCTCCTCAGTCACCAGATCTTAATCCCAACAAACATCTATGGAGTATATTGGGTATAGAAATTCGCAAAATTAAATGCTCGTCAAAAATTGAGTTCAAGAGAGTAATCCAAGAAAAATGGCAGGAAATTACCAGAGAAACAACTCAAAATCTAGTACATTCGATGCCTCGGAGACTAGAAGCAGTAATTAAAGCTAAGGGAGGGCATATTTCATCTTTCATATTTTAAAAAGTAATTGCATTTTTTTCTTCGACTGTGTCAATACTTTATTGACTACTAATTTATGTTAATTATTATTATTAAGATCTCTCAGTTTGAATTTTTTTTTTTGTCAGCATAGAAATAGTTTATATATAAATTATTATTATAATATACAACAGTAATTAAATACAAATGATTCCTTAAACTGGAAATTCGAAAAAAACACAATGTTTCAATACTTTTTTTACCCACTATAAATACAAAACAAAATATGTTCAGCCTTTTTTTTTTAGAACCCTGGCCGTTTACGATAGAAAAATAATTGAAGCCACCGCAGGAGCATTTTCAATAGGGTTGTCGAACGCTTTCAATAACCGTGCAGAAGCGTTTGTTTATTGTTTGGTTTGGGTTTTTCTATTATTTTTATTATTATTTAGAAGTACCTAAGTACTCGCGTGGGATATTCGGTTACGGACCGTCAACCGGCAGCAGGGGGTGGTGGACTGCTTTACTCTTTCGCTCCCCCCAACCCCTCACCACTAGGGTTGCTGAGTACGTTGTTTTTTTTTACAGTTCAATTTTGAATTGTGAGAGCACACAAACAAGAGAATAATTTTCATCACTGAACTCGGAGCGATATTCGTGATCAACCGCGATTTTGTAACGCGTTATAAAATAATATGATGTGTCCGAAAACCATGCGAGGTTATCGAAAGTTCTCCTATAGCACACCCATTTGTATGTGTGTGCTGTATAAATATAATCTAAACGTTAAGTTATCGTATAATGCGAACATGAGGCGTTTGTTGCGAGTACGCAAGCCGCGGGAATTTTTGTACCGACAGATTAGATAAAAACCCATCGTGCACCGTTCGGTTCAGTTAACATGTGCTCTGGCAATAGGTACATTGAAATACTAATTTATGTATACAGCTAGAGAGTTTGTAATACATAAAGGTGTGCTACGTTGCGGGTCAGTCCTAAGTCATCTCGCTGATAATACAGAGCCGGTAGAGTTCATCCGGATAACCCGTAGCCCGGCGGCCATAGTTTTTCTCGTTTTTCCTCTGATCTCCGACTCGGAGACGCGGGTCTAACACGCAACGCAGGCCGTAAGATTGGCTGAAAAAAAAAAGTAGTTTTCCGTAGTGTATAATAATAGAATAATAATATTGTAATCGACCAAACGAGTGCGACCGCAGAGGCGATATAATCCTACACGAGGACGTTCGGGTCTGAGGATCGCGAATTTTGCGGTTACAACAATGCCAGACACTTTAAAAGTAAATGGAAAAGTGTGATGATATAACATAATCGATTTTATACGTTTAACGCTGCGAAATACAGCTTATACCTGTTTTTAACGTTTACCGCAGTCCGCATTTATCTATCAGGTACTCATCGAGAACTTACAAGGAAATAATATATATAGTTGAATAGCCAACTAAATGTTAGGAGCAACTATTCATTTAGTTATTCCCCAACTACGCTCTTATTGTGTCCACATGTTAACCATAATTTCAATTGATGCAGCAACTGTGTATTTTTTTTCAGCGGAATATGCAAAACTCAAGTCCCATATTTGTATGGGTTCCCTATTTAATAAGACACCTGCGTTCATTTTATGTTGAAATCGTTATTACTATTATTTCATTAAAGACATTCGACAAATGTGCAACCGTCAGATAACGCAGAGCGTTTTATTAGTCAACCAAAATGTATAATAAATTGCTAAGCGTTATTTACAGTTGTTAGCTGCCGTCGAATACCCGTTAACCTTCGCGAGTAATACAATAATTTTTACCTACAGTCTAGACGTGTTAACACTATAATATGTGTATATTGGCTTATAATATTATGTATTAAGACTGTAAGTACATTATATAGAAGTACTCACAAGGCGTTGGTCGAATAATAATTAATTTTTTTACCGGAAATTTACCATAAAACTGAAAAAACGCAATTAGTTCTCACGTCGACTTATTAACTGTTTAACATAGCTGATGTCGAGGCGAAAGGTAATTTTACCGTAGTGACAATCGGTGGTTGGTTTTGGGTTCTTAACCAATTTGTAACCGCACAATAACATTATATATCAGCTGTACAATAATAATGGACCAGTCAGTGTGTATACGGCGCACACGCGCGTTATCCGGTGCACCGGTTTACCTAATCATTTTGGGGTTAACGCCATTACATTCTCGCGTGCTGTTGCGGTGGAGTATCAAAAATATATTATTATGTACACAACATCATACATATAAGACCGTAATATATTAATGATGTGCGCTCACACGAGCTAAACTGTGCACCGGACGGAAGCGCTTTGGCTTTGGGACGACCGCAACCGCTCGTGTCCTATGCCTCGCTTCGTAACTATAATAAGTGAACTCACATATAGGTCCATAATATTATTATTATGGGCGATGACGATTTATTCACAAGAGATAGGTACACAATAATGGGTAAACCCTAAAACCACACAAAGTATAAAACGACCTAGGTTAACGTCGGACCGGATCGGCAGCAGATCCAATTATCAACCCATATAGCGGACGCCAACCGTATATATACATACGATTACAATAAATATTTATACATACAGTGTCAGTGTTCAAAACGGTCGCGGTCATAATATTGATTATACAAATGACTGAACATATCGTAGTAATAATGTAACATTAAATTATTTTTTAACCGTGTACACACTATACACGCGGGCTGTGGGTTTTAGTTGCGGCCAACACGTGAGATGCGAGGCCAGTTTCGCGGTCGGATAAACACGACGACGATTTTATACATACATATCGTATATATTATATATTTATTTATTTATATACATATATATATCCGTACACCCCGGACGTGGGTTCCCACGATCTGTGAACCCGTCGGGGTCGACCTGTATGGCCCGAGTCCTGCGGAGAGTGACGGCGGCACAAGTGTGTATAATATAATAATATGCACACGAGTACCACTATACGCACACACACACATACACACTTAAGGTGGTACTCGGCGGTGCGTTCTCGTCGGATGTAAGTACTAAGTATAACGAGGAAAAATAAGACGGAAGAAGTCGCTCGTGCGTACATTTGTCGTTCGGCCGGAACACACAGAAAACCGAGCGATCGGTTAATCGATTACACACAAACCAGAAATTTAATAAGAAAACAACTCCAACTTGTAAGTGATAGAGCAACAGATACTGTGTGAATCTGTCGTCGATGTGAACACAGCTATGGTAGCCAACGATTATTAATTTATTAGGTTTTCTGCGAGTTGTTTTTTTTTCGTTCAGTTTTATTTTTAACATAATATATACATTTTGTAACTTGACGTTAGTGTACCTCAAGGTTTTAGAAGATAATGTCGGGAAACTGGCTTTATCGGGTCGGCTGCTTAAAAAGGACGTTTTGTTTAAGTCAAAATTTATAAGTGCAACTAGTCCTACTTTTAGTGTTTCGAGTTAGGCTTATTAAAGTATAATACAGGGCACTCGCGGACTTCAAGCGATAGTTCGGAACAAACGGGACGCATGTCGAGGCCGCGGTATACCCAAACCGTTCCTTAGATATTTGCATGAAGATAATGGTTCGCATGATGATTACTTATAACGCTCGTAAACTTAACGGATAAACAACGTCCGGAAAACGGTCAGAGGTCACGTCGAGGCTGGTCATAATATAGTCTTATATATATACATAAAGCGGAGGTTCACGTGTACAGCCCGTCAAGGGTGTTGCCAATACATCCGTATCAAAGTGTCAAGGGTGCCGATTTCTCTTCAAAAAAGCTCTTTGACGCCGTTCACGCGCTGAATATTGTAAGTACAGTGCGTTTTGACCGCAACCGCAAAGGCGCGCGCTCGTTCACGCCATCGCATCCTCGATCTCAGACCCCGACGTCGTCACCTGGTCCTCGACACATATATACCATGTTATTACCATTATCATCGCGTAGACATCATTATACAGCGCTACCACGTTTATTTATTTATTTGGAAGCGTTTTTTCTTTATTGAGGGGGAAACGGTTCACCGGCGGTTTCCACAGAAACCCGACCGCATGACCACGGACCAGAACTGTACGGCCGCAGCTACTCGGTCGGCGCGGTAAGGACGTCGAAAACGAGATGGTAACCAAACAGACAAAAAAAAAACAAATAATCTAATCTTAACCAGAAGAAAAAAATACAGACGACGATTCACCTTCACGCTTCATCGGCGTAACTCCGTGGGTGCTGCAACCACCGGATACCTCAATAATATTTTTTTTCACCGTCGCCTTAACCGTGTGATGGTTGGTTGTGTGTGTAGAGAAGCGGACCAAAAAAAAAAAAAAACAAATACCAGGCGCTTACGACAAATTGATTACCGGATTAAGTGTATACACGGATATGTAGGTAGGTATATCGGTAAAAAAAAAGGAACCCTCCCCCCACCCCCCAACACCGGTATTAAGCATGATCATTTTAGTCTGTTTAAATCGTAGTACGCTCTAAACTTTGTGCCCGTTACGGGTACACGCCTATCGCTTGTTCGTCAAGTCCGCCGATGATGATTCGAGTGTATTTCATTTACATATCATCATAAGTATTATTAATCGAAGGCAGCTGTGCGAGCCGATGAGTTTTACACCCGGTCGACACGGCGATTACACCGTCTGATAATAGATAAACATACATTGTATATATAAATAATATAATATCATCGTACCCGGTTAGGTGCTATATTCAAATCGCTCGGGGAGGTCCTCTGTACGGGCACACCACAGACTTATGTATACAACAGCTATATGGACCGGTGATGCAGAGCACGCGAAATGTCGTGATCGATCATTACACCAATTTATCCGGACGGGCGGCAAACACGCAGGTAAAGATGGACAGATAGAAAGATCTACCGTGTGTGTGTGTGTGAGTGTATTATTTCTTGGATTTTTTTTTTTTTTAATAAATCCCTCCACCGAGCGTTGTTATTATCCGGTGGCCATCGACCTGTCAGCGGGTCTCTAGATTTATTATTACATACTAATCCGATATCGCGGCGACGACTGTGGGAATCGAAACCAATGCGATACATAGTGTATACCAATATACATATATACATAAGATTTGTTTTACATTTTTATTAAGTTTATTTATTATTTTTTTATCAAACCCGATAAGTTTTTACGAAATCCATCGAGTTCGAAATGGGTCCAACTGACTTTGAAAAAAAACCGGACAGACCGCATGTAGCATGGTACAGCATAATATGGTATATTATTATAACATACAAACCGGCCTTGCCACGATGACATTTTATTATACAGAAGAGTACCGTGTATCAGATCATCTTTTCCGCGACCGTCGCACGTTATAGATATGTGTTTAAAAAAAAATTGATAATTAAACGCAAAAATATACATTATATATATATATATATGTATATAAATAAAATATTTTTCGGATATATTTAAATCTTCTCACGCCCGTCCGATTTGCTCAAAGTAATCATTAATACATACAAAGGCGGCAGCAGTGGCGCCACGGTCTGCTTTACATGACATTATTATTACTCATCTCATAAAAAGGTTTAAACCAGATACCTATTCCCTAGAACTATCACTTTCCGCTCTTCTCTTTTCTATAGGTGACATCGCAAATCAATGTTGTTGAATATAATAATAATATTATGCGCATACTAATTAACTCGTGGACAAACTACTCGATGCGGTTTGTATTTATCATTACTACTACTGCACTACTATATCAACAGATCGGCGATAACGATCCACGGCACTCGATCGCCAGACTTATGCATGACACTTCAACACAGTGACTAGTGTCATCTTTACCCTAAGGGCACGCGGGGCATGAGCCCAGTGTCCCCGGCCCCAAGGGTATTCGCGGGTAACCCGCAGGCAAGTTCTAAGCCACAGAAATAAAAAATAATATTTTTGTTAAAAAAATAATTTTACCAAAATCATGTCCAGTAAGCAGAGCGGCGTAGGAGCACACCCTAAAAAGCGTACGATTGATTTTTCCGTTAATTATCCATTATTTATTCACAGTAGACCCTAACTTCCATAGACTTCCACTTATTTAGCCGGCTTGACATCCCTTTTTTATGTATAATCGCATATCAATAAATAAGTCTACAAACAACTATTAAACCCACTCTTAGAATATACATAGGTACTAAATAACGCGGTTGTTAAGCACACGTGGGATAATAAAATGATAACATGTATAAAAAAAAGTTTTGAAGTATCGGTGATTTACATACCTTTCGGCAACACAATATTTATCCCATTCGTTGGATACACCGATAATGATTTATACCATACGATATTATGAAGAAGGCCCGTGTCACAACCAATGTTAATAATGGCGGTCAGGAGCGGATATAAAATAATACGTGTAATGTCTATGAAAAAACATTAAAACCGATTCCTGGGAAACGCACATAATAACAATATTCTTATAACGTTCATAATATAGTGTGTGTGTGTATATGTGCTGCTACTGGTTTTCTCACGGAGCACTCAAACGCAAAGCGGCGGAGACCTCGGGTGAAAGCTTGGACCAGCCAATGCCGATGAAGACATTTCACGTGCACGGTCCCACGCATCAATACTTATGTGTGTGCACAAACGTATACGGTTACTTTTTTTTTTTTTTGTAATGTAAGCACACGTGATATTTCATGTGAAATTGTCAGATCGGCTCCATTAAACGCATCGCGTACCTACACACACACACGCGCACGCGCAAAGTACTCGCGGCGAATTTCCATTGTAATCTTAATACATCCAAAGTCTCCCCGCCGTTTATTATAATAACCTTTTGCCGAGTTCCTTTCCCGTCACCGTCAACGCCACACACACATACAATATAGGTATAGTTAATAAAAATATTATACATATATAATACATATTGACCATATAATATCACATTGTCCGTGCCATGCCGATACGTCCTATACCTATATTATGTGCGCGTACAACGTCACTCTTTACGGATAACCGGTATTTTTTTTTTTTTTTTACAATCCGCTTTACTATATAGCCGACACTATATTCTACAAACACTATTGCACGGTATATTCTCACGGGACACACTATTGCTACCTCACGTGAATCCACCGTGATCGAAATATGCGGATTTTTATTTTATTTATTCAATAATAATTATATTATCTTAGTACCAATGACGCCTCATGTATAAACATCATCGTGTATGTAATATATGTACATATTTTATGTACCGCATAAAGGAAACAAAATAAACCGAAATAGTGAATTATTTATTGCCAATTTGAACGGGAAAATGTCGGTCGGGTTCCCACACACTGTAAAACGAAAAATGTCTGTCCCCACCTTGGCACGAGTTTTAGAACTGAAACGATATCTGCTGCCAAAAAATGTAATGCTTATATTATGTTTTTATGTTATTAGCACAATTTTCTATGAGGGAGCGTTAATTTTTGTTTGTAACAGCATTGCGTTTGTTCTTAAGCTATACATATGCCTAAAAGTTTACATTAATCGCATACAACTCCTATGACGCACTCGACGAAATTTAAATTTAAGTATTTTATTGTTCAGTGACGGATAATTTAGTTTTAAAAAAATGTCTCTTTACTCGGATCGTTCCCGGGCTGAAAATTATTTTGTTTCAAATCAAATGTCCCGGGACTTTTGGGACTTACTAAATGCCGTAGTTATCTATATGTTATCTTAACTATATTATTAGTTAAGTTCGTTATCTATATATTTCTAAGTGACGAAAGTTGTTCAACTCACCCATATTGGCGGCCATGGCGTCCAAATCTTTGGGTTTGCGCTTCCTAGGTCGGCCCTTCTGCCGAGGCTGCGTGGGCGCGACAGATGCTGTGACCGGTCCACCCGCAACGTTTCCTCCACCGCCGCCGCCGTTGTAGAACCCTCCTACGGGCGTACCGGGACAGTCCATCCCTACGACGCCCCTGACCGACGGCGAAGGGTACGGGGACTGGGCCGGGGCCGGCGGTGGTACGGCTGGCATGGGCCGCAATGGCGCTAACGTTGGAGGTCCAAGTTGCTGATAATGGTGCTGGCAGAACACGGCGCCGTCTCTCATGCCGAACTGGTCGCCTTTGGTAAGCACGGTCAAGCACACGACGCAGCTGAAGCACGGCACGTGGAAAACAGTGTCCCGAGCTCGCATCACCAGCTCCGAAGGCGATATGGCCGCCTGGCACCGACCGCACCGACGGATACCGTGTAACCTGCACACAAAAACAGACAATACCGTTAGGACTACATTGTAGTTAACAAGTTACACATAATTAAAACAAAAAAAATAGTCCATACACTAAAGAAAATTCGTATATCTTAAAAAAAAGTGAAAAAATCGCTAAGAACTGAACTACACATTTTATTACAATCCTTTATTATTGGGGGGGGGAGGGCTATTTGAGTATTAAAGAGGATTTAGCCTTCCCTAGCCCCTTAATATGCGCCTATGGTATAAATACATAGTTTTTCCTCGAAAAGTAAATGGAAACGCATAGAGGCCACAACCGAAGGATACAAGTAAAGATTATAAAAGTAATATAAGGCTTACAAACGTTTATAAGAAGTTATAAATAAACATTTTTCTTAATAATCATCTACTTACACCGCAGAATTACTTATTTTTACATAGTTACCTACTGTTTTTTTTAATAACAGAATGACTCGACGTTTCTACAATTCTACCATCCTCGTTTACGAAAAATCGTAAAACTGTTACAGATAGAAAAAGTAAATGTTTTAAATTTCGTTTTTAAATAGAATATTACTTACACCCTCGTGACCTACGTATTGCCCTTAATCTGGAGTAAAAAAACATAATAAACACGCCCACGTTAACGCTACCACCGGTTTTTCGACTTCCACGGGCGAATTCAAACATCGAGAAGTTACATTGTTGTGTACTGTACGTTATAAAACTTCGTGACCCATTTACTGTTATGTGTCGGTAAATTATTATTATTATTATTATGCGGTAACGTGACCGGCAAAGGTGGTAGCACAGCGTGTGGTCGTTCGAGAGAGATCCTGTAGGGAGAAGGTGCGAACCGTTGGATATTTTCGCACCTACGATCAGTACAGTATATGGGCGGGGCCGTCAACGGGGCGGACATAGGGGGGAAAACCTAAACGCACTGATCGTCATCGCCGGTGTACACTGGCAGATACATGGTCTCTCCCCGGGGAGAACGCTTCCCTTGCACGAAAAACATGTAACAGTACCTACACACAATGTATTATAAAAAAAAAAACAGACAAGAAAAAACACCTCAGCGGGATACCGGGACACCGCCTTCCTGCATAATATTATATTATTGAAACCGTCGTGGGTTTCGCCATACCCCCACCCCCTATGGATTTCGGTGGTGTTCCGGTTACCGGTTCGATGACTGTATTATATTGTTGGTATGACGTGCTGTATTTTACTGTATGCGCGCGCGTTTGTTGTTACACCTAGTGTTTATAATAATAATAATAATGTGTATAATATTGCAGAACGAGCCGTTTACATGTTTGTTTATGGTGATAATAATAACAATAATAATGGGAATATTATCCGCCGGTCCGTTTGCAGACCGACAGAGAGAGAGAGAGAGGTAGTGTGAACGGAAGGAAAACCACCCGGGGTGCTCGAGTGTGTATTATTTTTTTTAACGGTTTGCCAAAAAAGTCTTTAGGCCGCCCTCGGAAAGCAGCAAACCGCGTGCAAACGAGATTAAACGGGTAATGACGATAATACTATAACGAATGTGATAAGCGGATATGGCCCAAACGGTTGTTCGTGCGAATATTATATTACTAATTTATGCCGGAAACGTACTTGGATAATATAATTATGATGGATATCGTCTGCTGGCCGCCGATCGTGGCTTGTACCCGACCTATACATAATGTATAATATGAAAAACGGCGTTGGTGGCGATTTTCACCGTGATTTCCACTACACCGCGCAGAACCCGGACCGTTGTCGCCCTAACATTCCTGCGACTGCTCGACCTCAGCTAACCACCCATTATTATTATATTCGAGTTTATCTACCACTTTTGTTCATACAATCGTCGTGACCGGCGGCAACCTCTGTTCGTGCGCCAACAACAAAAAAAAAACCGGTATCGCACCAACGCCATCGCCGTGTTTCCAAGTCGACCTACGCGCCGCCCCGGTGGATAACGTACTATGGAAAATATGAGGACAAAAATGTAACCTTTAGGGTCGAAGAAAATGCCTTACGTTTTCTCTTTGGACAGAAGCGATCAAAGTGTTTACCGTATGTTAAAAAATACCATTCATCTGCCTCCACAACCAGTAAAGGGGAGGGAGTAGAAAACTCTTCCCCGTCTTAGCATAGCTGATTTTGGCCGCAAATAGACCACTTCAAAATCGTTTCGCATTAATCACATGATGGACTCCTGTACTACTAGTGCGTTCACGGCTTGGTGAAAAAATAAAGACATACTAAAGCGGTTTGTCATGGTAAAGCTTTATGGCGGGTATTATTATAATATATTATCTTTTTTTTTTCTCAACAGGAAATCCGTTTTGGAGGACCCGGCACGCGATTTCGGTCATCGCATTGGTTTTTCTCAAGACCCCCGCCGCCGGGGTATCTCATATAGAATATAATAATTGTGAGTTCTGGATGCGTGAAGTCAAATACAAAACAAAAAAAAACTAGAAAAAAAAGGAATGCAAAAAAATGCATTGTCTAAATTATACGATTATGACGGTGTTAATTAGACGCCGTGTTGCGTATAGAGACGTGTATAATAATAATAATAATCATATCATACACACCGTTTGAAAAAAATCGTTTTAAAATCATATTATTATTTTTTAATTTTTTTTTTTATATACACATATACATAACACATATTGTATATAGATACCACTACACACGCACAGTTCTCACTCTTCCGTCTCGATGGGTCGGCCCGGTCTTCCATTATCTTTACATAACTCGACGTCACTGCAATACAGATAACTATCACACTCCGGTAGTATACAGGCGATTCACACGTACCTAAGGTGAGCATATTATATTATATATATATATATTATATATCTTGCGCGCGCGACTGTGTAGGTGCATATACGGTGTATTATACTTGCAACCCACGCTATTATTATATGAATATATATCACACACGAGTAATACGGTGCATATAATAATAGTATTATTACACTATTATTAGCCTATACACAGACTAATAATAGCGTACGAAGAGAAAAAACGCATCCAAGCCGTGAGCAGAAATTGAGGATAGGGAAAAACTTTTACTTACGGTCCAGTTATAATATAAGTTATTACACATTAATGGGAGCACTGCAAGAACGATTAGTGTCAAGTGTTCTGAATTTTAATTTAAATGACTTTATGGATCCGAAAAATGTGTCCATTACGATAAGATAAAAAAAAACTCGTGTTACACCTACTAGCATTAGCTAACATTTTCCCCTTAAACTGTTGTTTCATTGATCCAAGATGCAACTATACATTTTCAAGCACATTATTATCCCATACCGCACATACCTACATAATTCCAACATATTATTTATATATATTTTTTTTTTGTAACACGTTTTATGGGACGTCGGAGGTGGCACGCGTTAAAGATCATATCGTGGATTATAATATAGAGATATGGAAGCTCGACGGGGGAGCGCGCGCGAGCCAGTTACTTATGTTAGGTCATCCACCACACACTACACTACATTGAGATTCACCAGGCGACTCCTCGGCCGCGGCGTCACCTTCTTACCGGCTCTTACCGAATGATTTAGGACCGACCGGTGGCCTGGGTGTCGGGTTGCCATAATATACTATGTAGCGCATCCCTACGGCAAGTGGAAAAATAAAAATATATAAACCGAAAGGTATTGGCCGAAAGTACGCTTTGCCAAAAATAACGATTGTCGAGACGATAATCGTGTACACGGCCCCACACTACTTTTCGTTTGGCGCGTTTTATCTGGCTTCAAACGCATCTGCTGCGTATTATACATGTCCTATATAATACCGAGTAGAAGGAGCAAACTAATAACAAGCGCCCGCCCGACCGACCGAACCCACAGCAAAGCGGCGCGAAGTTCCTTGTGTGTGTGTACATATACTTAAATATGTATAATTATATGCTGTATACACAGTACCGCCGTCGACATGACAGCTTCTGGAAAACATCAAACGAAGGCTCGTTTTGCCTGACTACATCAGAAACAAAAACACACGTTGATCATAAATCACCAAGAAATATCGAGACGAGTACGATTCAAAGGACACGTCTTTTTGTATAATAAATATATAAATAGCGGAGCGCTAAACCGCTCTTATATAGGTGGTATTAAACACACGTATAAATATAATATTATAATATAGCTCCTCTCTCTCCATGACTTGAATGCGCGTAATCAGCTTTGATGCAGTCGATAGAGCATGTGCATATACATAATAATAATAGTAATAATGTACATTATTGTCCGGGTGAGTATGTGTATATGTCATGAATATTGTGCTCGGTCATTGTGGGCTAGCACAACGCGCAATAACGTACTCCATAATAATTTTTGACTTTCAGTTTTTTATATATATATAAAAAAAAATTTAATTATTATAGTTTTTTTTATTAGTTGGGAAAGGTCACGTTAAAAAAAAATATACGTCCATTGTATCAAACGCCTAAAGTCTGATACTAACGTCAGAAACCCAAGGCCGCGTTTAGGGATAAAATCAACTACATTAATTGTAATGATATTAATTATTATAATACCGATAATATATGTATAATACACATTTACCACACAGCAAATTATAAAATTTGAAAAAAATATGTATTGATCATAAACAAATCCAAACATATACAGCAGATATATTTTTGGGATTGACGTTTGGTGGTAAGGCCTTGTAAAATTTGTAATATATTTTAGTATGAAGTGTACTGAAAATTAGAGGTTTTGACTAGTCTCGAACTACTAGCCTCAGAATCGCAGTGCCGTCTATCGTAGCTAAATAACTCTTCTCTGAATCCCCTACACATTTTTACATTGTCACTTCGCATTGGGTATCTTTTCATCGTTTCTTTACTACTTCTATCCTTTAGTTAAATGGTCCACATAATAGAGTATGTTTTAATGAAATCGGTCGAAGCACCCCGGCATAGCGTCACGTGTACGACACCCGCGGCGAACACGGTCCACGGCCAAACACAACTTAATATTTCATATTTACGCGTTTTTATTTGATTATCAAAACAAAGCACGTCGGCGGCGTAGACCACACCGGGTACGATGTTTGATTGTGACACGTTAAATTATGTTGTAAAGATAATAATAATATAATGTTTTTTATTGGCCGTTTAAACTCCGAGTACACAAACATGAATAACAACGAGCGGCAGCGGTCGGTTAAACGTCTCCCGTTATGGCTAAAAAAAAACATTTTTATTTCCAAAATATCATCATTGTAATTGTCGTTTGAAAATCATCTCTTGTCTCATCCGGAATAAGTGCGTGCATCTCTGTTCGCAGTTCGATCACAAAGTATACCTAACCAGAGAGAGTCGATGTACTTGTTGTATTGCCACAACCCTCCAAACTACATATAGTCTACAACGGTCTCGCGATAACGCAATAACTATAATAATTATTGTTAACTGTTATTATGGCGCGGCGGCGTTTGGGGCGGATCCGACGACTTGTTAAACCGAAGGGTAGCTATTATCATAATTTAGGGCGCCTCCTGCGATATTCTGCGGCGTATGTGTGTGTATATACAGCTATTATATTATAGCTGTTGACGCGTAGGTAAAGGTATCTGCAGGAAGCCTGTGTTATGTAAGGCAGCTCATGAGGCGGCAGGTCGATAGCAACGACGATAAGCGGTGCCGGCGCAGACGGATGACGGCGGACAGCAAAGACTACTAAAGAGAGAGATAAAAAAGAACCGGCGCACAATGATTGGGCGATTTTCGCTAGTCAGATCTTTTTTATACATATACACACATCTTATATATATATATTCTTCAGATGATCGTAAATTTCGTTGCGCCGCGTTTCCCATGCCCGTGTATCGTGCTCAATACGGTCGCCCGTGTCTTTCCCCTACCAGCGGCAAGTCCGTGACCTTTTGCGGAGCGGAGATGTGTACAAAAGCGCTACAAGGAAGACGAAATCCTTACAATATAATATGTTGTTCTCTGTCTCACCCACACGCACGGGTACACCGTACACATACGGTTTTGACGTTTGACGCGACCAAAGTGATAATTAAGACAAGTCTCTAGATATTATTATTGTACATTTTTTATATATCTATACACTGTTCGGGCAGTCGACAACTGCAGCAGCTTGCCGGGCGCCGCCGAATGACGTCTTCAGTCATCGCCGACACTGTAATAGTATAATATTCTAATGTAAGGCGGGAACGCCTCCGTGCGAGTCTACTACGGCAGTGGTCACACCTCTATATCCGTCAATTCACACACATAACAACATAGGTAAAATACAACGATATACCTGCGACGATCGGCCGAGTATATGTAATAGTGCAAAATCATAGGACAGCGGATGATGCCCTCTATCGTGATCAACAATATAAAAAAAAAATAAGCATGCGGTAATTATCTGTGTAAAATAAGTGGAAATCCAAATTGCGGAAAATAAATCATAAAAGAAAAACAGCAAGTGTTTTGTAAAATATAATAACGTGGTTCAACGTGTGACCTCTCAATGACATTGAAACATTAAAAAATAGAAAAAAGTAGACATACATTTTTAAAAAAACATCATTTGATCCGTCGAAAAAATATAAAGAGCGGTATACCCTAATATAATTTAATCTTTCAGTGCCCGTTGTAGCAGAAATGCAACATATTTATTACACAATTTTATATTGTTAGAAAACATAGCTTTCATATACTATGACACCCAATAGCTATAAATAAATTGCTGTCTACTACATGTTATAAACGTATTTTTTTTGTATACTTTTTACCTATTTTTTCCCAAATACCTGATAATTTAATCTATGTAAAAAAATTGAGCATTGAAGGTTTAAATTTGTTTTCGCTTAATCTTATTATGCATTGTACATAATTCGCGAAAGAAAATACCGATAACATACTCGCTTGGTTTAACTACTTACTAGACCCATGTTTTACTTTGCAATTCGCGGCCGTTTTTTAAAAAAGCACACTAATACTGGGATGCATATAAATTAATGGATCCATAAACACTTATTAGAACAATGCGTGATTGGTCCAGTGCGTATGAAACCAATAAAATAGTGTGCGATTCAGCATAAGTAAATTACCTTAGACGAAAATTAAATAAATGTTTATACCAATATATATCTAAAACTTTCATCGTCATGAATGTGAATTAGTAACATTTTTAAATCTGTGATACGGTTAGGTAGTCAAAAGTAGAAATTCATAAACCGAGTTGTATATTTTGTACGTTGACTGACAAAATATGATTGCACGTGCATAAAATCTAAGGTACCCATAGTTAGTAGGTACTAAAAAACAATATGTAAAGCCGGGGATTTTCTAATTCGTTTGTCAGGTCTTAAAAGTCAGTACCACCTAAGTCCTACCCCGCCTACCTAAGTGGGTTTTATTCGGAATTTTTCGCTCGACTGACCTGACCGCTGGACGGCCGCGGCGTGGGTTTGAATATATTATGTATAGGTATAATATATTTTATTATAGCGGAAATTCGTACCGTACGAAGACGGTATTTTAATTAAAAACGATCGAGACCCGTGGCATACCCAAGAGCTTGGAAGAGGCGATCACGACGACAGAACGGTCGTAGCACGTGACAACCACAAGCAGCCCATGGCACGTATAGCGATCGAGGTGCACGCAGGACACACAGGAAGACCACGCGGCGTTTGGTCGGATGCCAGATACGGTGGTCTCACGACGACCCGGTCGGGTCGGCTGCACTGTCGTCGGACTTTTAATTGCTTCCAGAAGTTACTATACCGTAAATTTATTACTATGTATATATTACGACGAGGGGCGTACGTCGCCTAGTAATAATAATAATTACCACCGATGCGTGCCCCTGTAACACCGAGACCGGGGTTGAGTAAAATTTGTCAAAAAACTAAAAATAAATATTTTCACTAAATTGCCCTGAGGATTTTTCTTATTCGAATATTGGACTAAAAAAAAAATCCTTAAGTAACAAAATATGTTAAATGCACTTTTAGACGTTCGTTACACTAATATCTTGAAAAATGTTTAAAGCAAAAGTTTAACCATAGTAAGACAGACCTAACGCGTTATTGACATGCCTGATTTACAGGTGTTTTTAAAGATCACTTAAATCTGTGTAGTAAACAGTTAACAACACTACATGAAAGAGTAAAATAAGTCCAAGGAAGAGAATATTCATTGTCTTGTTCATACTAATATCTATTAATTTTGTTCTTCGGACACAAAGTTTTCCACGGCTGTTTTAGTAATGGACCATCCTGGCGCGTCGAAATTTAACACAGTAACGTTATAACGATATTCTTACCTTTGGTAGTCGCTCTTGCAGTAGATGTTTCCGTCCCTGTAGAAACACTTGAGTTCGCCGGCCAAGGTCCGGGAACACTGGGAACACTGTAGGCAGGACGCGTGCCATCTTTTTTCCACGGCGTACAGATAGTAACGATCTAAGATTTTCATCCCACAGCCGTCGCAGAGGTTGACTTCGGGCTCTTCTAGTTTGGGGGCGACTGCCATATCCGGCGATTCGTAAGTGTACGACACGCTGGGCGAGGACGGTTCGGGAGATCCATAGCCCGCACCGGGCGACGACCCCTGCAGCAGGCAGTCGCGTTCAAGTTTGCATGGCACGGCCAGAGAACCGCCCCTGTAGCCGCCGTCAGTAAGCACCGTCGACGGGGTCGGGGGTGGAATTTTGCAGTCGGGGCAGTCGTCATCGAACTCGGTCTTAAACGCACAACACTGCCCGTGACCGCCGTACACGTTGGTCAGCTCTTGGTCGCGACACGACGTGGTCGGCAGATTCGGGCTTTGGTCTCTGGACGGGTCGTACGGGTTGGCCAGCATGTGATGGCGGTCATGCTGCTGTAACGACAAAAACACATAAATCAACAATTATAGTAACTAAAAGGAAAAGCCCGTACAGGCGAAAGTCCTCATAAACGGCAAATGCAAGACCACGCCTATGAGACAAAGGCAATTCCAATTCACCCCCTTCATAACGGTGTCAATTGGTTTGTTAAACTTTAAATCATTAACTACTATAATCTATATTCCAAACGACGGTGGCGAGAGTCGAGTTTGATGATGATGATTGTGCACTATCGCCTGAGGAACTTGTGGTCGCTGCGAAAGCGCAACAAGGTCGGAAAAATGCATTGCTATTATCGAGGCTATTGGGGACCCGTTGGAGAGGTCGTGATGGTCCCGCGACGATGACAACTCGTTAAGGAGGTAAAAATAATACTGTTACCGTAATCCCTATAGGCTTTATTATTATAGGGATACCGCACACGTTGATGGCGAGTGTCGAGTGACGGCGACGAAGGTCATCGGTCGTTTTGCAATGAGGTGGCGTTTCGCGTTTCAGGTAAGATTCGTGCGCCAATTCTTTATATATTATAATGTTTTCATTGCATTACTATTATGTCAGTCACATCCTATTATTATTCTTGCGCTACCGAGTTCGCAAAATCAACAATAGGTATATTTTTGCCAACCTATACTGCGTACACGGTTTTCGGCCACGCAGTACTCGAAATACAAGAAGAAAACAAAAATCATGCGCGTAACGTGGGGGACGAAAGGCCAGCGTATTAGTACATAATAATATTATATTATAGAAACGTCGACGTTGTCGAGTGGTTATTGTGCGAGTGCCCCTATTTTATTATTATTTTTTTTTGCGGGTCAAATAGGGTGAAGACAGATGTCAAGCGCGGTCGTACCGTGTTGCAGGAGGGTTTACCTTTGTTGCGATGACAAATAAAATATGTAATAACCGAGGACACCTGTATAAGTCAACGCCGAATACGCCCAGCTATATATTATGATTATTGATATCCGACAACAGAATAAATATAGACCTTGAACCGGCAATAAGACAAAATATAATTAATAGGTTACCGTTTCCGTCGACCTCCGCGAAAATCAAACGGATCAGGTGTTGTCTATCGATGCGGTTTTTTTTTCATTTTATCCAGCTCTTATAGAGGTAGTACAATTAATGGAGGTTCAAAAAATATTCTAATAACTGGGTGTCTAAAACTAAGTAATAAATCATTAAAAATAAAATGTCGACACAAATTGTACCTGTCCACTTTTCCCTGCGCACGATGACGAATAAGTCACTTTTTTAGTACTACACAAAACTAGTCTACGTATTTATGATAATATGCAAGTTCAGCCATGGAAACCTAGTCGTACCGGCTGCTGGTGGCGAGAGGTCGAACACTCGCAGTTGATTCTACACATAATATTATATGTTTTTATATAAGAAAATAAGTCATTAATAACTCGCTGCTTGGCCGTCGCACACAATAAGGCGACGCTGACTGATAACTCGCTATGAGAATCGCGATGCATATAATGCAATATCTTAACCGTCTTTTGTGCACCGTTTCGGTTCGTTATTGCCGATTGACAAGAGTATATATATGACTTTATTATTATCACAACGGCGGACGGTCGATGACGAACAGTTTTTTTTTTTTTTATAGTAATTTTCCCCTCGCATCAGACTTCTTAAGCCGGTGCCGCTTAAATACAGCAGTCACGATTTTTTCCCCCCAGTTTTCAGTACAAACACAGACGACCCAAATATCGCGCTCCACGTGTTTCCGGTCACCGTTAATTATCGGACCGGCACCAGATTTACGCAAGTTCAAACTGCAGGAGATGCACGCGCACTTGGCCCCGGGGTGCACACAATACATCATGCCTTATTTTGGTTAAAAAAAGTAAAACGTATACAATCATAGACGGGTAAAGGTTAAAATAGCGTAATTTATTCGATATGATTATATTCGATGTACTTAAAAATTCATTTTTTTTTTAAACAGGTATATCACGGGTTTCTGGTAAGCTCTCATATTATAATAAATCCGGTGTATGGCCACGACCTTTTCGCGCGCGTAGATTGCACGGGTAACGCGAGGACAAAGTACGGACATAATTCGTTCGTTGTTAGGACCTTTTCACCGTGTGTTATACCGGAGGTGTGTGATACGCGAATAATAAATTCGAATAAAAACGGCTATAATATATTTTTCGGCGAACGTACACGCTTATACTTATACCGTCGGACGATTCGTGTATATGTGCCACTCGAATTTCGAACAAACAACAAGAGGATTATGAACCGCAAAATCGCATTATCGCGGTCTGTTTGGTGCGAACACTGAACTGCTTTTCACCTCCCTCCGCCTCTCCACGGCACATCATACATATTATACAGCTTCTTATTATATTATACGTGTTGTTATTGAATTTGTGTGTACAATATTATAATATTATTTATACACATTGTTTGGCCGCGATGGCGTACTATATATATATACACACACACACACACACACACAATAACGCTGTGGCCATTTGAATAATTGGTAAACTCGGACAATACCGACAAACTCGACACGACGCGCCCATACCTTAATAATACACTGCGCGAGTCAGATGATAATGTAGCCAATGATTCATGCTATTGTATACAGTGGATTTCCACCACGTCGGAAGAAGCAGAGAGCGAGGATTAGCGTCTTACAGGACCATCTGTGTTTGTGCGAAAAGGTTCTCAAAAAAAAAAAAAAAACCCTACGGCAACTTCTCTCGGACTAAGGCTAATTCGCGACCGGATTCAAGACCCGACTCCGGTGGAGATCCACTCGAGTGAAAAATGCGGAGTACAGTAGCGCATTGTGCTCAGGTATGTGTATAGGGCTGCGGTACTTCAGCGGGACGACACCTCGAGTGTTTGCCCCCGGCCGCAGAAGAAAGAATATAATATACATTGTTAAGACATGCCAGAGTATATATCCGTCCGTAGCGTTTTCCAACGTTTGGCACCCGTCGGCCAAAAAGTTACCTAGCGCGCGGTATATTATTATGTCGCTTAACATATTTACATGTATGTACAATATAGCCGTAGCCGTACTTACCCAATGCATTCCGGGTTTCTGATTGGCCAGGTCTTCAAACACGCCCATCAGGGCTGCCAATGCGGCGCGTCGTTTCGGATATAACGGTTGGCGCCGAGTGGTTGTCGCAGGGTCGACCGATCGGCGTTTGCGTCCTCTAGATCTTGATCTTTTGAGGCGATCTAAGAGTCCGCATGAGACAGCTGTGGCGTGACGTTACCGTGTCGTGTGGGGTCGCAGATCCTCTCAGGGATCGACACCGGTACTCGGCAACGGCGGCGGCGCACACCCTGTCCGTCGGCGACAGACTTCTGCAAAGCACACGGTACGTATGAGAAATGCGGTTAAACCAACACATTAGTGTATAGGTGTATGTACAGGATTAATTATAATTATTGTTATCAACCGTCGCCGCTGTGGCGGGCGTGCGTTATCATTCGGCCGAATGTGTATTTTTGTAGAAACACAGCAGGCACAGCAAGCGGGGAGAGAGAGGTCAACGGTTCAAGTTGGACCGCTGAGAGCGCATAGTCCGCGCCCCCGTCGAGATAACCGCGCCGGAGATAAGGGCAGACAGCGGGCCAAAGGGGTTATCGGTCGGTATTTCTATATTATACACCTTTATATTATCATAATATAATGGCCTTTTCCAGACCGTCGACACGGCGAAACGTATCGATACCGTTTTTATTTTCAATCAAAGCCGGCATTCGACATATTAATAATAATAATAATATTATACTCATTTTCGTTTCGTTGAACGTAAAATAGAGCTTGGCATTAAAGAAAAAAAATTAGTAACTAAAAATTTGGTATGAACGAACCTTTATATGGTACTGCCTTGCAGAGCGATAAGAAAATGAAAATTATTAAAATGATCATATTAATATTACTTTTAAAAAAATATAATCATGAACATAGATAAAACGAATGAATTTATAGTATAATGAAAAATTAAGCTAAAAAAAACTTTAATTTTACCGAATTTTAGTCATCATAAATTCTACACTGGTATAACATAGATCTCTGGCAGACTCCAACATTAATTTGCGATATGAACAGTCTCGAAACTATATTTGTATAATTTGTTCTCAATGTGTGCGGCCAAAAACTTAAAATTCGTCCAATTACTTGGCACGTAGACAAAATTAAAGAGATCATCTGATTATTATTGTAAGCATAATATGTGAATGACAGGCAACCGGTCAGGGAGGTTTTTCTTGTGTGTGCGAGGACAAGTCTGCGAGAGAACTGTTACCAAGTGCTAAGTGTAGGTAGGAGAAGTGAGGAGAAAAATCCGGTCGATTATTATTGGAGCCGACGAGGTAAGGCAGTCGTACGTCCCCAAGAGACACGGAATTATCGCGCTTGTAAATCAAACATCGGATTTGTCACAGTCCATCGACTACCAAGAACGTTATTATAAATATATATATATATATAAATAATAATATACATATACATATATGTACATGTATATACATGGAGACAACCGCAACGACAACCGCAAAGCAAATTGTCGTGCGGACGCGAAAGAATGTTAATATATTTTAAAAAATAATCCGCAAACAGCATTAAAAAAAAAATAAAGGAAACAAAATCATTAGCTTGACGACTGTCGAGTCTCTATGAGTGTTTAGTTATATGCAACTTTTGTGCGTCAGCAAACTAATTATGAAAAGTTATTTAAAACAATATTTGTAAATTGTCCATGAGAGCGTTTGTAAGTTTGGGACAGAGATGCGCAAAAAGTGTCAATAAGTCATCACACCTTAGATCATGTGAGATTGATCGATTATCCAAATTATTAACATAATATATTCTCATTGTAAAATATGTAATTGTATGTAATTGTTGAATGTATTAAGGTTTTTCTGTCGTGCATTCACATTTTGTAAATAAAAATATCTACCTACCTATAACATTGTATAATAGTCCTATGACGAGCTAACTCAATATGATGTATAAGTAGAGAAAAATACAAAAGAAACCGAAATGGTACAGTGCTGCAGTTTTAGTATAAAAACTAAAAACCAAGTCAAGGCTAAAATGCGGCAAATAATAATTTATTATTTTGTGCAGTTTATTTAAACAAAATATCGTTCCACGAATAAATACATTTGTAATATTTTTTGTCCTGTGTATGTTTAATTCATTGTGATATTTTAACGATTCAGTACGTTAACGATATCCATCAAGTAGTATAATTATTGATCTCCGCGGAGTTTAATTTTTGTTTTTTTATGCCAAAACAACAACCTAGTAATTATTTATGGTCGTGTGAACAGTAATGTTTTTACGATCATACACCATTTATGTATATTATGCTCACTTTCCGCGATAATCACCAGCTAATATATTATGTATTATTATAATACATATATTAGCTGTATATTACCTATAATAGGTACTATACTAATTTATGTATTACTTTCGTATGTGCCTAAAAAAAATATAAATTATTATCGTTCTGCGCTTCGTATTATAGCGTTATAATTTTTTATTTGCGTTAACAATCGAGTCGGACGATTAATTTTTGTAACAATGTATAATTATCATGCCGTTTGTTTTTGGCGGGTAGGCATGCGCTTTTTTAGCTCCTCCTGATACCGCCGTATGGTCTTATTTGACGATCAGTCGCATACACTCTATATACTTACATGCGCAGTAGGTATACTATATGTAATAATATTATTGTATTAAATTACAATTATCGTAACAACAATAATAATGATGATAATATAACAAACCGAAAAGGAAATAAAATGTGTATTAATATTTCAACGCACATTGGCCATGGCAGGAGACCGGAATAATATTATTATGATACACTGCGTGGAAACACTGCTGTTCTTAATGCAGTTCCGAACATTAAGTTTTCCCATTTGTTAGTTGTGGGGCTTTTAATTTAATTGTTTTTTATCATAGAGTATTAGATAGATGTATACAATGTGTCCTTAGTTCGGCAAACGGCGGGAAACCGTACGGATTAAACTGACCGGAACCGCGTAGGGCGTTTGATTTTTCTCAAAAGTAATCCAATTATATATATAGGACGGCCGCGAATCATTAAGTTAAAAAAAATAACAATGGGAACTTATAACAAGCGTGTCTTGTATAATACATGTGTATTGTATTTGTATGGTCGTATATATAATATTCTATTCGACTATAGGGCATGCAAGTTATAAAAGAATAGTTGCGTTTACCGAGCTAGTGAAAATGAAAAAGTATAATTACACTTGATAAAAACATAACATCATTACATTCGAATTATCTACAATAACGGAAAACAATCATAATTTATAATTTAGCGCAGTGCTGTGCTTGAAGCATTATTATAAGTATTTTTTAGAGCAAGTAGCACCGCCTATTGCCTTTTCTTATCATATAAAATTGGCGCCCCGTCAAATCGTGCCGGTCTAAGGTGCTTGCTCTGCTTTAATGCCCCCTCCCCCCGTTTTACTGGAAACTATACTAACAGCTTACGGACGTCCAATTAGCCGACGTAATGTGTATGTACTAGCATTGAGTATATTAAACTCAATGGTATTAGTTTTGACGGCCGGCACACGTTTGTGAATTGTGTATAATGAAAAAATAAAGGGTTAAATATTGTTCTATAAGCGACGATGAAGTTGGTCGTGAGCGCCGTGTGCACCTGCGGAGTACTAACGTTTAAGTTTATAGAGAAAAAAATAATTATTAAAAAAAAAACCTCCCAAGAGTTTAGACCTGCTCTCCCGTCTTTTCATGTTCACACCTTGCGTGAGAATGTCTACGCTGTACAGTAGGTACACTGTATATGTACTTCCTATACAAGTACTTATAGAGGCGCACACGCATATGTCGTCCGATAATATACATGTCATGTCGTTTTAGGTTTGAATTTTTTTCGGTTATTTTTCATTGCGCCGTCCGAGGGCTTCAACCGTGAGTACATACAAACAATGATACAACATATTATAATATTATATTTGAATAATAATAATATTATATACGATAATATATTGTACAGAAGAGTAATAAAGGTTTTTTTTTATTATTGTTTTTACGATCGTTTCCGAAAACATCAACTGGTTTTTAGCCTATAAAATATATTACTATAACGCTATAAAAAACAAACTAAAACAATATAATACATGTGCAGTGCCTAACGCGACTACCGCATAGACCAGCCGTTAGAGTACATTAAAACAAAATAATTTGTATAAATATATAATAATATGTGTACAAATTCACAATTTTTTAAACCTATAGCGCAGCTAATGCGATCATTAATATTCAAAATAAAGGTATATAATATAAGGTTATCGCTGTATGCCTGTATGTCGCTCTTTGGACCACGCGGTTTTTTACCACTGCACCGCATAGCAATATTTTATTTTAATGTTGTTATCACAACTGACAACATATAATAATAATAATATATAAAACCATCTCGATTTTTCCCTATGAACACAAACATCTATTCCACTTGTTATATTACTATAACACTATATTATATTATTTAATGCGTAATAAAACGTCTATAGGTTTACAAAATATCCTTTAATCGGCATCGATTAAGAGCAACGCGATACTATCAAAAATCAAACAATCGTAAACTATCAAAAAATTGTTTTACTATTATATTTTACATAAATGTTTCTTGTATATAAATATAAAAATTCCATTTGTAGTTTTAATGGTTGTAAATAGTCGGCTTAAAAGTGTTAAAAAAAACACGGTATAACCATCAATACCCGACAAGGCCGTTTGCGTACACTTTCCCACGAGTCTGGGCGTATTATCTAGTCGAAAAGAGTCTGATAAACTGGTAAATTTATTTAGATATTTACTATTTAATTATTCTAGTACCTATTATAAACATTGAAGCCTGATCAAACGAGAACTAGTAAATGTTGTAATGTGTTCACAAAAACATCACTGCTGCTACATCTGTATACACATAAAGCCTCTTGATCGTCATGGTCAATTTTATGTTTGCGGCGGTCAGTACCGTATTTCCCTTGCCCCGACATAGCTATGGATCCTTGATCCATAAATACCGTTCCGGATCTAGTTGCATGACGCCCGTGACCATAATCATTGGTAATATATTTTTATGCATCCAAGCGCGTGCCGCCAAAAACTTATGTACATTGTGGCCGCCTCGAACAATATTATACACCATTATTTCTTATCCACGATAATAAACATGAACACGAACTCACAACGCAAATTTAGAAATTAACACAATGTTTAAAACAATTTTTCGGGTTTAATGGAAATATTAAAAGTTTAATATGAATTCAAATAATAATTTAAATATTTACTAAATACATAATATATAGGTAGAAAATGTTATTGAAACGTTTGTATTATGAAGTTTTATTTCCTGCGATCTAATGATGTAAGTATATTTTGACTAAATTAAAACCACAATGAAAATATATTATGAAAAATATGATCATCAGAACATTATTACAACATGTTTCTAATAAATTAATGAATGACTTCCCGCTTTTGAGCCAGAATTTTTACCACTCATAAATTGTTTTCCGATTTCGAGTAAAGCTGAACCAGTAATTGCATTCTAATAAAAAATATATATATATATATAGGTAGAAAAAAAAACATTTATCAAATATCAAACAAATTATAATTAGAAAAAATCATTATATCGCTAGCAGAATTCATTTGTATGAAATAAAACGAAATAGAAGAAAAAATAGATATTTTTGTTTCTGGCGAGTCACATACATGCTCGTCGAATGTTTAATGAATCGATAGTCATTTATTTTACAGTGGCCTGAATGCTGTTAGCCCATTACAATTCGATGAACCATTAAATTTATCCATGTGTTCTGCATAAGTTGAATTCCTATAATATTATTTTGCCGTTTTAACACTGTACGAATGTAAAACGGAAGTAATGCGTTTCTCATAAGTAAAGTAAAGATTGGTGAAATTCAGGGATTGTAAACATTCAAATTTATTTTTTTTCGAAAGACTGTACAGAAACACAAGAAATCGATTTTAGGTATAGACTTGCAGGTCGCACGCGTATATTGATCGTGTGCGGTGGTGCGGGAAACATGGAAATCGCACACGCATAATATATACACACAAGGATCCGGTTTTACGTTGTGGCTGTCGTGTCGCATAAAATATAATACATTTATCTGTAAGTACGGATCTCCATGTATATAGGTAATGTATAATATTATACGAACGTCGCCGGATAGCCTGCGCGTTTACCCCGTATATATCGATGAGGCCAAACAAAAAAAAAGAAATGATAATAACTGCCGAGGTCGCTACGACAGCCACTGACATTGGCGGTTTAAGACAATTCCAATCGTCGAGTATTCAAATACTGAATTTTAGTACAACCTAACCCGTTTAAATAGATATGTTAAAAATATGTGAACAATTAATTTACATTATATATAATATATGTATAGCGAATTCGTCTAGAAGCCGCATCTCATTATGGCAGCGTTGGGCATTCAAGGCCCGTTAAATTACATGATAAAGACAATAAAATATATATTATATATTACACAGGTATACATGTATGTATACTTAATATTGTTCTAAGCAAAAAAATTGTATAATATTATTTTATTGTTCAAAAAATGTTATGCACAAAAATATATTATATTACAAGCAACGCCGCTCTTTTGTTCAGCTTTAATAAACATATTGTTTGTTCATTTTTCTACGGAAAGGAAATTCGCCGGAAAGAATTAATACAGAAAAAACATTTTTGAAAACCCAGAGAGGGTAAATATTTGCAGAAGTTATTGCTTATTTACACAAGGGAATATTTCAAAAAGCGCCAGCACGAGTAAGGCTGGTTATTTTAACATTTTACAAGATGGTAAAAATTAATTTACGTCCAAGCATTTGGCATTTTCCACAGACAAATAAAAAAAACTTGTACACTACTGCTGAAGCGTAATGGAGTTTTTAGCTTATGAAGATAAAGTAAAAATTACACCAGGGAGTTGGATTTAATAGGATCGACTTATAAACATCTCGTTTCTTATCGATTTCAGAATTAATAATAGTAACATTCATTAGATTATGTCAACACATAATAAGATTAATAAGAAAAATCGCGTTTTAATACCGGTTATCAAGTCGAGCACAAATTATAATATATTGATTCGAGTTTTACTATTTCACCCTTTATATGTGGTTTTTTTTATTTAATGTAAAATACCACACATAATAAACGTCGTATCTACAATTATTGTTTAAATACATACAGGATGAGCCAAAAATACTGTCGCGTGGGCCAAAAATCACATGTTGAAAGTTGAAAATTTCAATACATGACTTTGGCCCACTCTGTACATATAAGTACACAGAGGTACATACCTACTTTATGTTAAAACAATGTAATTTATATACACGGCAGCGTATTTTTTTATCAATTAAACGTTTTAATTCAATTTATACCTCCTCGAATCATGGTTTCGTGAAATTGTATATTATAGTTGTGGCGCTTAAATTAATTAAATCATCGTCAATTATCGATCAATTATAGGTGAAGTGTAATTAATAAAGTATACAACCAACGTATAATACATAATGTAAAATTATAGGTGCAAAGGACGTCGTAATACTAATATCTGTGTAATTATAAGTCCTAATGAACATAATGTGTTTAGATATTATGTATTTAGTATACCCATTTACACCAATTACTGTTCATAACATGTACACACATTGCGCAGAGTAATGAGTTTCCGTATCTTATGTTAATTATATTTTAATATATATATATATATATATATGTATATTATTGTCTTGGGATATAGGTGCTACTTTGGAGGCAATAATAAGTGTTTTTTTTATTAATTTTACTAATTTCAATATAAACCAATCGCGATATACAGTACCTAAATTTTGTCTAGAATCAATTTCACACTAATATATTTTTAGTACCTGAACGCGTTATAAATTATTCTTACAAGTTCCATTCACTCGCCATTATAAGCATATTCAAAAACGGCTTACAAATTTTATATTACCTTAAGATTGAAATTTTTTTTGGTTATATAATAACATTATAAATTAATATCTGTAGGCAATATATATCTACATTATATTATTTAAGTGAATCGCCTTTTCGATCTACGCAAATAGAGAATTAAGATAAAGTAAAAAAAATAATAGGAGTATATTGTATAAAGTAAAATCTTCGAACGTTGGTTTGTTGTCACATTATTTATCTAATATTATTGAGTGGGGAAAGTATGGGCAATTTTTTTATAAAACTTATATAATCATGTACTAACTACTAACACTGTTAAAATAAACTTCTAATTGGTAATTAAATACCAACTGGTGTAAAAATTTAATTTTAATTTGGTTCATCCGAAAATAATTTTTTTTATGTAATTCCAACTTATAGTTTTGTAACAATAGAAAGTACCCAGCGTCCCAAACACCCAAGTATAACGCGTGGCTATTGCTATTTTTATACAAAATAATTTATTATAATCTAATTGTTATGGGCAAATGTTTGTACATCGGTTTATTTCGAATAAAATGTATAAATACAACAGATAAGACTTGATGAAAAAAAAATAAACCAAAATCAATACACAGAGTGTCCCAAAAGTCCGAAAAATGGTATTTTAAACTTACAAAATATATTATAAAATGTTATGATTAAGTATCGAGAGTAAAATTGTCTACATTTCACAATCCGTCAATGACAAAATAATAATTACCTATTTTATATATTTTAAAAGTTGATCAATTCGATCGTGGCGGTTCTTTTTGAACTAACTGTATACATTACCGTGTTAAAACTGCAATAACGTTACTAGACGGCGACAATATTGAAATCGATTGAATTTTATTGAAACGACGGCGACAAACAAGTATTGTTAGCAAGACCAAACCGGACTATCGATAACGCCCGTCGATCGAACACGGTCTATTTATGGATTGTAAATTTTAACCTATTTTTAATTGGTGTGGTAGGTAATAACCTCAGCATAGAGGGCCTAAGTGCTGTTACAAACTATATCCCTGCAAATGCCACAGTAAGCAATTACGCCATCGCGGCCCAAGCTCACGCTGTCTATCGTATATTTTTGGAAAACGTGAAAAATATTAGTAATATATGGAACAAGTAGGTACGCAATAATGTAGTATTTTACTCACTATATAAATCTGATAGGCGAAAACGTGTGTTGGCGGCGACTTTGTCCGTGCCCGTGCACTTTGCGACAGGAAAAATACAAAACCAACAGTTAAATATTTTGTAAAACGCGGTAAACACTATACGGTATACAGGCAATTTTCTTTTTTATCTCGGGTTTCGCGACGACCACAGCTCTTATCTCGGTCCGCGGCAACGGCACGTCTCGGTCGCGGTCGTTGTCGTTATAGCGTCCCGGGCTACAGCAGCTGCTCGGGGCGCATGCTCTTGCGGGTGACACCGAAATTCGGGGGGAGGGTTGTCGGTAAAACAAATTAATAAGAGCGCGTGGTGTTTTTTTTGTCGCGCGAAGCTGTGTATGGCGGTAACGGAGCGACGGCGGACGTGCACGGGCTTGCGCGCGTCGAGACTGAACACCGGCCACGGTCGAGGAGGTATTTTTTCACAAGAACCGTTCGCCGCCGCAGTCGCTGACGGCGAACGAGGCGTCCAATGGGCTGCCGGTTGGGCGGAGACCGCAGCCCCCTCCGGTCTTCGGGCGGCCCGACACCATTCCGCCGCCGCCGCCGCCGCAGCACCACCGGCCGGTAGTCGGTGGATCTTCCCCGTCGGCCGGACCGGAAGGCTATTACGGCCGGAACTGTCGATGATTCGGCGGCCGGCGCAACGCACGCGGTGGTCACTGCACAAGATCACTGTTTCAGCGGGACAAAACCGATAGTTGTCTTTTTTTTTATCGAGAAAAAGATCTGTACAATAATTTGATAGACCTCTCTTTTAGGAGACCGTTATACATCCGATTTCCTAGCGTTAAAATATACACCTATACAGAAAGCGTTCTGCTCGCTCCGTGATGATTTTAGAGCAAAAATACCGATAACAAAATCGAAAGATGACACGGTTTTGGAGATAATGACACAATATGCTTTTTATGATAAATCTAATGTTTGAAATTTAATTCATTAGTACTTAATTATTTAAATACAATTTAATACTTAAGTTTGATTGTTCAATTTGTTTTTCGTTTTAACTTTTAAACAAATCGTGACACCACTGTCTCTTTATTCTTTGTCACTCGTCTAGGATAGCCTAGTAGAGTAATACTAGCAGTAGCGTATACCTAATTACAATTTTCTCTGGATGGAAATATGCAAAAAAAAAAATATTATTCCCCTGGCTCTTTTAAATAAATAGACCGTTAAATTACAAAAGATGAGTTGGGCAAAATCCAGATTTCAGGATTTTAAAAATCTTAATTTTTCTCTAATAATGGCCGGATTGCAAAATGCGAACCACGGTTTATTAAACACACAATTTTATTTAAATATGGTTGTTATAATGTTGATTGTTGAAACAGACTAAATTTTCAATCAACAACATAATTATTCAAAAAATCAATTGTAATTTTTTTTTCAAAGATTAACCTTTTATGTAGCTTATTTGCTACATATTGATAAGACACTCAATTCTCTACAAACAATTTTATTTTATTGTACTGTTAGCGCTTCGTAGAGAAATACATTAAAGGGTTAATATGGAATTGCTAGGTAACATAATAAATTGTTTTTGAACGCACTGCGGTCGTTCTTTGACCCGATTCGCTGGGAAAATATCACCCAAGTAGTAGGAGTTAGTAATTAAGTGTGATAAAAAAATCGATCGTTCGACGACAAATAAAAACGGTTGTATTTAATTACTAATAGTGAATAAAATATCGCAACACAGGTAATATCAAACCTGTGCGACAAAGTAGTCGTACAGGGTTCAAGGAAATTCTTTCACACACGTGTGTAGGTATATATAATAATACAATTTACTTGGTGATGATCGCCACATGCCTACGGTTCATGTGTTATTACAACTAATTATTATTTGAGTCGCCTACAACGTGGAAATGTACGTCTTATATATATATATAAACTTACACGGATACCGTTTATAATCCGGTTTACAAGTAGTTTCACCACGTGGTTTTTTTTTTTAAATAGTTAAATACGAGCAATTAATGTGTCGCGTGGGAAGAACACGGTAGGGCCAATTTTGCCTGCAAATTAAAATATTAATTTATAGCTAATAAATATATTTATATAAATAGTATTATTTGACAGAAAAAAATATAGTTTTAATATAAAAACATAATAATCCTTTGACTACGCGAGATCCGTATAATTGCCATTTGGTTGTATTTATGAGTAGGTATCATTTGACAGGTATCATTACATTATTTTGTTAGTATAAGTTTAGTCTTATTATGTAATACGTGCACTTGAAACACAGCGGCTGCAAATGTACAAACAAGCAATTGAGATTTTAGCGATAAGTTCTTATATTGCGATGAAATTTGCTAACCTTCATTAAAGAGATTAGCAGTACATATCAGATAAAATTTAAATCTAAGACCAATTTACATTCGAAACTCATTTAAAATGTTTGCATCAATATATCCAAGTATTTGACATCTGTGGTTGTCCTTGTTTTTTTTTTTTTTATTAGATCTTATGTAGTTTTTATAAAAAAAAACATTAAAATCTTAATGATGATATGAAGATCCCAAATTAATTACCTTTTTACAACGACATCACTGTAATCAGTCACGTGATCCATCGATGGATTATCCTATTTATTCTTATTACCATTAAAATACCTAATATATGAAGGGCACAGGGGAAAAACGGTAGTTGTCACATTATGAAAATTGTTTTTTTCAAATCGTTTTTTTCAATTTATGCCAATAACTTTTTTTTATTTATGTCAATAGATTGTTTAAATAAATACATTTATCGTTAAAGTAGCATTTAAAGTGATTTTTTTTGTTCTCATGTAAGAGATAGAGGAATTCACAAACTTTGTTTTTGCTATACTTTAAAATTGTCATAATGTGACAACTACCTTTTTTACCCTGTGCCTTCATATTTAAGCATACAATTTCATAAAATACATTTTGAGCATGACGTTTTGAATAATATGTCAATCGAGTAGCTCGCGAGCGTACGACAAGTTAATCGGTTCGGTGTGTGATTATACTTGATCAAGATTGATTACAAAAAAAAAATATATATATATAATATATAAAAATTAAACGCTTCAGCTCATAATTTCGGCGCGTGTCTATTCACATTATCAGTCTGTGTAACGCGTCCATTGCGGTGTACAGATCATATTAAAATTACGGTATGATACCGCAATACTCTTCGTGTTTGATATTATAATAGCCTGGTACACTCGGATTACAGTAAAATGATCAACAAACACTCATTAACGAGAATAACTCGAGTTACACCAGCTCCGTTGCTTTTGCGGACGGACCTAAGTATAGTTTTGCAGAATATGATATTATTAAAAGCCAGGCGCGCGGTTGTACCCGACAAGTAACGAGAAACCATCGGTTGTAGGACTTGCGCACAATATGTATCCAAAATATAATTTTTAATAACACACCGCAAAACCATACACGCGGCTGTTAGTCGTTTTGCCTATATGACGATGTGAGCTATTAAAATATGCCGTATTGGCCGTTGGGAATTTGTTTGTATCGGTTTTGATAATATTGGGAGGGGGGGAGGGGCTAATTATAGACACGTCTGTGATGAGTGCGATGAACTGATCGTCTCGCAATAGGTAAGTAGCCAAAAAGTGGCCAGGTCAAAATTGTAATTTGACCAATGCACAGCAAAATTGTCATTGACCCGAAAACGTATGGATGACTCTGAATGTACTCAGCATATAGCCAACACGATAGCTAGAAATTGATTTCAAGCGACGAGAGCACCGAATACTACATGACCATTGCTCGTTATGGACAGTTATTTTTTCTAAGGTAATGTCGTTTAATAATTGCACGACACCCCAGAGAAGGGACACGTACGTCCTGGCTTTGGTTCTATGGTCAGCAACTCGAAATGAAAATCTAATTTTGTTCTCTATAGAAAATGTTGCCAAAAATGTAGTCAACAACTTTTTTTTATTAGGACATAGATTACATTTTTAGAAAATATCATTAAAAAATGTTAAAAAAACTATTTGACTACTAATTATGCTATCGTTTGCTGTACCTATGGATAAAAAAGTACACTGCTCAAAAAACTCAATTAAACCGTAATTATTCCTTGAAATGCCTCATAAAACACATGATATTTGTATGTTTATTATAGCTTACTAATAGTAGTAATCTTTAATTACTATAACACCTCCATATAGCTTCTTGTACTCATTAAAGTAACTGTACATAAATTATATATGTATATATTATATTTAAAAAAGATCATAGATGCTTAATTGCGCGTAATGACTGCTGCTTTTAATTACATATCCATCTTAATTTCTTATCGCCTTTTATAAGAGTATTCTATCCCTCTCTCTAATTAATATTCTTTTCTCCTGTTCTTCTTATGAAACTCAATGCATTCTATATGTATCATATATTTTAGTTTTTTTCTCTTGTCTAAGGCTGGCGGTATTTGAAAATGACGATACTCGTGTGTATGTCAAGGCAATAGCCGGTCTATCGAAAATTCGGTACCACAATAGCCGCCTAGGTTTTCTCGCTGTAAAAACAAAAACTCACATAGTTTATTAGTTGTCACTGTGTCAGATGAACATATCTCAACATAATCATTACCATAAAGGCGGGTTTACACGTTCAGTTACCTAAACTGTGCAAACGAACTAAACGTTCAGATACCATTGGCTTAGAATCAGAACTAAACGAGAAAAACTGAACATGTTTTAAACATTTTAAATAATTCTCTCCTTAGATTTCCGCAAACGGTTTGCAAAAAAATAGAATAAATTGGTTTTTAAATATTAGCTGGTGTATAAGGTTATTTTTTTAACAATAACCGTGAACTCAATAAGCACATTTGCGCTATAATACGTGTGACCAGTAAAAAAAAACCGAATACAGTATAACTTACTGAGACTTCATTTAATTATTACTGACCGACGTGACCGCGGCGTATACAACAACAACAACAAAAAATATACGAATTTAAACAAAATACATTATATTAATTGTACTTTGAAGGGAAAAAACCCGAAAACTAAATAGCGCAATAATGACCCGTGCGCGATCACGGATCTATGAAATTATAGACTTTGTATTGTGATCGTCGGATAGAAAATATATACAATTAAAAACGCACGTTCGCCCCGTTAAGTTGAAATCAGAAATCAAAAAACCGGCACGAGCGTCGTATAATGTGTTCGATTTTGTTTTTGAACCGGAAGAACAAACGAAGCGAAGGCGATCAGATGCATTTAAAACTACGGTATTTTTGGTTCGACAGCTCAAATGGAAATTTGAAAATTACATTTTTTACTCATTTTTGTATATTATGTTTTATATAATTCAACATTTTAACTATAATATTGTTTTGGACGATTCCCTTTCTTCTTCAAAAAAAAAAAATTTAAACCA